ACCCGCGCCGTCTTCGGTGCCTTTCTTCCTTGTCTCCGCCACACAAGCACTAAACTACAGCAGCAATAATAATAAAGGGTTTAGGGTTTAGGGTTTAGGGAAAATTGTTTTTATTATTTTAATTATAATTAAAATAATTTCTTTGGATAATCAGTGAAGTGAAGATAAATGCTGCTGCTGCTGCTGCTGCTGCTGCTGCTGCTGCTGGCTTGCAGCAGCAACAACAACAACAGCAACAGCGGCGCTGCAGCAGCAACAGCAGCAGCAGCAACAGCAGCACTGCAGCATCAGAACTGCAGCAGCAGCACCCCAGCAGCAGCACCACTACCCCACCACCAGCAGCAGCAGCAACAGCAGCAGCAGGAGCAGCAGCAGCGTGAGTATACTGTATAAGTGTAAGCTGTAGAAAGTGTGTGTGTTATTGGTGGGGTTGTTCAGGCTTGTGCTGCTCACGTGATTCCTTCTGTTGATGAATATATAAAGGAGACAGTGCATGCAACGCTGCTGTCTGCTGAGTTTCTTAAGGGTTTATATATTCGTACAGAAAGTCTCGTTCAGTTGTAAGAAATACCTGCCTATACACCCCACGGTGTATAGGCACCTTCAGGTTTACTACACACACTCTCGCCCTTAACTCCTGCTCCTGCTGCTGCTTTTGTTGCCGTTGCTGCTGTTGCTGCTGCTTCTGCTGCAGTTGCTGCTGCTGCTGCTGCTGCTGCATTCGCTGCATTTACACCCTTCTCTTGTCTTTTCTCTCTGCTGCTGTTTCTGTTGCTGCCTCTGCTGCTGCTGCACCCCCTCCTCCTCCTCCTACTGCTGCTGCTGCTGCTGCTGCTGCTGCTGCTGCTGCTGCTGCAGTCTATGTCAGCCCGAGGTGCAGCAGGAGCTGGTGTGTCTGCTGACGGATGATTATATTTATTTTCACAGCGAAGACAGCAGAGCTGCGTTGCCTTTTTTTGCTGCTGAGGCTTTATCAGCAGCAATACCTGAAATACACAGGTCCCTCTAAACCCTAAACCCTAAACCCTAAACCCTAAACCCTAAACCCTAAACCCTAAACCCTAGAAATTATATTGTAAACACTAAACACCAATCACTAAACCCTAAACACTAAGCACTGAAAGGGATACAACATACACCAAAACCTAAAGTGTAGGCAACAAGCACTACCCTTGGAAACAAACCCTAAACCCTAAACCCTAAACCCTAAACCCTAAACCCTTGCATGCGCTTTGGGGTGTATCAGTGCATTTCTCTCTGGCGAGGAGACAGCATCCGCCAGAGACAAATACTGGGGGCTGCTGAAGTCAGATCCGCCGGTGAGCAGCAGCAGCAGCAGCAGCAGCAGCAGCAGCAGCAACAGCAGCAAGATCACGAAGCAACAGGGAGCTGTTTTTGTTTGTATTCCTTTCTTTCTTTTTCTTTATTTGTTTTATCTTTTTCTTCTTCTCTATTATTATTATCGTATTATAACAGCATAATATATATATCTATATATGTATATATACATATATATATATATATATATATATATATATATATATATATACACTATACTACTATAATATGTATATATATATAATATATAATTATTATTTTATTCTGTCTGTTTGTTTTTATTATTTTCTTTTCTCAGCACACAGACATCCCCGCCGTCTTTGCACATTTACTTCTTTGATACTCTCTAAACCCTAAACCCTAAACCCTAAACCCTAAACCCTAAACCCTAAACCCTAAACCCTAGTAGTATTGTGTATTCTGTATGCAGATGAATGCCGTTCTTGGTGGTTACTTCAGCAGATGCTGGCAGGCCTTCCTCAAGACCTGTCCCCTGCAAGTCAGAAACCCTAAACCCTAAACCCTAAACCCTAAACCCTAAACCCTAAACTCTAAACTATAAACCCTGAAGCTCAGCGGAGAATCCTAAAATAAGCAGACACTCAACGTATCGTTGCCGCCGTGCTACGTCGCACTTG